AAGAGAATAACAGGTTCGCTCTCTGATTTCTCTGGAAATGTTTTCTGCTGAAGTACTGCTAGGGGAGCTTTGCACGGAGAGAGCGTAGGGAGCATTAGGTGGATGGCAAAGCAGTGCCAGCGTTGTGTGGATATAGCGCAGCCACTGTGCAGGGCAGTGCGGGCACAGCAAGGTGGGGAGGAGTGGTGCTTAGACAAGAGCCAGGCCAACAGGGATGGGGGTGCACAATCTTAATCTTAAGCAGTTCCCACTGAGTTTTGCCCCAGACAACATCCTCAGGGAAAGACAAAGGTCTGACTGAGTTGTTGAGGAAGATCCAGCTCTGGCCATTTTGCACCAATTAAACTGGCTGTAGCTGCAAGGTGCAGTGTAAGGAGGCAGGGAACGAGTTCACAGTTTCTCCATCCTCAGTCGCCCTCAGTCCCTCGTTCTCCTTTTGATCAGTCACTTTTTCATTGCAGCAGGATTCCCAAAAAGGGCTTTGTCGAGGTGACCGAACTAACAGACATCAACTATAACAGCAACTTGGTACGCCTGAGGCCAGGTCACATGAACGTGGTCTTGATCCTGTCCAACTCCACCAAAACCGCCCTTCTCCAGAAGTTTGCCCTGGAAGTCTACACATTCACAGGGTAGGCCGAGGCCCTCTCCCAGGTTTCTGGTTTAATGGCGTGTGTAATGCTGCTGTAATGACAAGCTGGGAGCGGTGTTGGCTCAGTGGCCAGGAGGGAATGCATCTGGCGAGCAAAGCAGCCTTCACGCTCATTAGTGGCAATGAGACGCCAAAAACTGAGCAGCCTTCCCGGCCATACTCGGTGACGGTTGCTGGACAGGTCTGGCGCTGCCACCGCTTTTGCTGTCCCCAGGTTTCAGTGAAAAGAGAGCACAGCAGTGCTGCACGCTGTGTAATTGTCACCTGCGCTAAACTGGGTTAAAAAAGGAGCTGTGGCAACATGGCTCCGTGTCTGCCCTTGTTGACAAATGCTTACCTGTCTGGTAGGAATCTGGCTCAACTCGGGAGACGTGCTAATCCCGTTTCTCCTCTGCTCTTCCCCTAGGAGCAGCTCTCTTCATTTCTCCTTCCTCAGCCTGGACAAGCACCGAGAGTGGCTGGAGTACCTGCTGGAGTTTGCACAAGATGCGGCCCCCATCCCAAACCAGTATGACAAGCATTTCCTCGAGCGTGACTACACGGGCTATGTCCTGGCTCTGAACGGCCACAAGAAATACTTCTGCCTCTTTAAGCCTCGCAGGTCGGGGGATGAGGGGGGAACCCTGGGATCGTGTGAGGATTACGATTCGTCGCTACCCACAGAAGCCAGAGGGAAACCCTCCTGCAGCCCGGGATCTGGATCCATAAAAAACAAATTACACAAATTGTCCTTCTGGATGGAACGCCTCCTAGAGGGCTCCTTACAGAGGTTCTATATCCCCTCGTGGCCCGCGCTAGACTGAGGGATTTTAAAGAGATTCTAATGGACAAACTTTTTTTCAAGATGACAAATAAACAAACAAGCGTGACAAATGGACCTTACGTTTTAGATGAAATCTCCTAGGGCCAGCGACTAGAAAATATCTCCCCGCGCCCGGAGCCCAGGAGCGCGGCCAAGCGTGCCCGAATGCCCTCCACCAACTCCTTCCCGCGTGTGGACGCCGTACTACCGAAGAGCCAAGAAGTCCGTTTTTCCCTTTCTGTCCTGCCGCACCTGCTTCCTGAGTCGCCTCCGCTCCATCTTGTTCCTTTTACCTCAGTTGAGGAAAAACCCGTGACTTCTCTGCCACAGCAACTTGGTCCGGAGCGAGTGCGGCCAGTGACGCAGGTCAGGTCGTGGTTCTCTCTCCCCTTCCCCGTGTGCTTAGCCCATGTTGCATGGTGTAACACTGGCAAAACCCTGCGGACCCTCCCAGGCCAGAAGGCCCCCCTCCCACCAGGCAGTTGTACTTTATCGGCTCTCCCCAGGGTAAGTGATGCAGAGTACGGTCGGGAGCATCTCCCTCGTAGCAAACCCGTAGCTGGGACTCGCCGGTGGTGCGGGCTCGTAGGCGATCTGCATGTTTCATGCTCCTCGTGTCATAGTTCCACGCGCAGCTTCACCAGCTGAACCGAAACCAGGGAGGAAAAGGGTTTTGCACGGCCATAAATGCTGTAAAGGTGTGGAGCCGTTAAATGTCACATTGATTTTTCCGGATGCCTTTCTGCTTCTGTCGATTTTAGACGATGTATCCTAGAGCCATAACTGTGTCCTCAGATTGTAGGTGTGAGCTGCTATGAGCCAGTAGACGTGTAAAAGAAACTCTACCTAGCTGCTAGGGAGTCTGTCAGGGCTCCTTTCGAACACCCTTACATCTGTAGTACAAACCAACCTTTCTTTGTATCAAGGAACCTCATTCTTCCACGATTGTATTCTTGAAATGTTGCCCCAGAAGTGCTGTACCATCTGACCATCGCTTATGTGTGAAACCCCTTTTGGTTTAGGCGTGGGTTTAAGATGCCTGGTTTCTGCCTCTCACCTGTTTCCTTCTTGCCACAAACCTTTGTTTCTCAATGTGCAGGCTGCTGGATTTTTGTTTATTTGTGTTGGGGTTTTTTTTGTCTTCTTGAACTCATAGGTCTGTGTGAAGCTAGAGCAGGCGCAAAGCACAGCGTTTGGTTTCTGCTTTGCTCTAGCAGCACTCCAACAGCCACTTTCAATGCCATGGGGGAAGAGGGAGGCCCGCTGGAAGGCGGAGGGAAGGTGAGCAGCAAACTCACTGCTGCTTTCCACTCCTCAAGCGATAAAGCAGAGCAGCAGGGTTTCTCTTTGCGGCTGGGACTGAAATCCTGTAGCACTCGTGCTTCCTTTTCACTGCTCCGAGGCAGACACCGTCGCTCGGGCTGGCACTGGCTGTGCCTCCTCCCACTGCTCTGCGCAGGACTCAAGCCCCCGCAGTACCACGTTGCTGTCAGGCCACAGCACTGCCAAAGCCCGGCGGGTCTGAGCGGGGCCGCCTTCACTGCAGAGCTCTGAGCCTGACAGGACTCGGTTGAGCACGTGGTGTTGACAAAGCTCACTCGGCCCTCACTGCCACGGTTACCACCTTAGCAGAGCAGGCAGGCCATAGGAATAACAATGGCAATCTCTGGGCTAGCTGCCCATCCCATACGAAATCCA